AGGGTATATATTTAAATCTTTGTCTTTAAGAAAACTATGGTTGACCCCATTTTTAGATTAAGTCTTCATTTGATATTATTAATTACAACAACAACAAAAAACAATAATTTTTTTGACAATTATTATTTAGTTTAATATTTTTTTTATATATATTTAAAACAAAATACTAGCATAGTGTTTTTTCTTCTTTAAACATTTTTACATACTCTATATATACAACAAAAATAATATACATTCATTAAAAAAAACAACAAAAAAATCTCTTCAAAATTTAGTTTTGTTTGCGTGTCTGTGTATAACTTTCTTTCATAGTTATTATTTTTTTAAAAAAATGGTATCGTTGGGAGGGTATCTCATTTTCATTATCTTTAATTTTTTTTAGCATTTTTTTAATTTAAATGTGTGTGTCCTTTTTTTACTTATTTTTCTTCTACTCTTATTTTGCAAAGCAAACGTCGTAATGTGTGATAATTTTCATTTTTTAACCTAAAACCAAAAAACAACAACAATGTGGTGGTTGCCGCTCAAAATTATCCGGTTTCAGTTGGTGGCTTTAATACAAAAAATTTTACTAGTCTACTTTTAGGTGTTAATTTGCTATTTAATTGATCATGATTATTTACTTTTGTATATGTATGTGTGTGTCTTGTAGCGTCCGGTCACATTAATATCTTTAAGAAAATGAAAAAAAAAAATAACGATTACACGCCATGGCTGTCTATAAATTTACATGGTTACATTTTGGTGAGATGGTTCGAATTGACTTAGGGGGCTGGTGCCGCCTTTTCTACAACCAAATTTGGGTGCTTCATAAAAACAAAACGCGTCATTGGAACAAAATCAAAGCCACATTTCTACCTTTAGTTTTAGAATTCTTTTCTCTTTTGAGTGTTTTTAGATTGGTGTTAACATTCCTTTTTCGAAACTGTAAGTTAAGTGTTAATAATAAGTATATATTTATAATATTAAACGTTACATTGGTTTGGTTAATTTGGTAACTGGTGCTAATTCTCATATATGTCATTTATGAATTGCCATTTTCTATCCAAATTTTTTTCAACCTCATTTGGAATTAAGATTCAACGAAAATTCAAATTCAGAAGATTCAAAAATAAAAAAAGTATTGTAATACTTTAATGCGTAAATAAACAAATAGCTCGGTCTACCAACGCGTGAACATGACAGGAACAGCTGACCATTTGAAAAGCAGGAACATGCCAAATTTTGTCCGCATATGCGAAGGGTTTATCCTTCGGATTTATTAATTTCATAGCAAATGTCAAGCATGTAGGAAACTTCCATCTTTAGAAGTTGAGTGGAATTTCTATTGCAATTAGAGAAGTCGAGGTAGCAACATACTTTCCCGTAATAATCGTATCCTCAATTAAATTGTTGTGTAGTTTTTTATTGTTAACCTAATTTATAATTTTTATTTTAATATAATTTGACAAATTTATTTTTGTACCAAATTCAGTCACTCATACCGAATTTCATTGGACTTGGACATAAGTATCGTGTTTTGTGCATCAAATACATGAAATCGGCCGAAAATATATATGGGAGCTATATCCAAATCTGAATCGATTTCAATAAAATTTGACAAATTTACTTTTGTACCAAATTTAGTCACTCATACCGAATTTCATTAAAATCGGACATGCGTATCGTGTTTGGTGTATCAAATATATGAAATCATCCGAAAATATATATGGGAGCTATATCCAGCACTGACGCCGAATTTCATTGTACTCGGATATACGTATCGTGTTTTGTGCATCAAATACATGAAATCGGCCGAAAATATATGTGGGAGCTATGTCCAAATCTAAATCGATTTCAATGAAATTTGACAAATTTACTTTTGTACCAAATTTAGTCACTCATACTGAATTTCATTGAAATCGGACATGCGTATCGTGTTTGGAGTATCAAATATATGAAATCGTACGAAAATATATGTGGGATCTACATCCAAATCTGAACCGATTTCAATATAATTTGGCAAATTTGTTTTTGTTTGAAATTCCGTTACGCATTCCAAATTTGGAGACTGCATCTGTAATGTATCAATATATATGTGCATATAAAATCTAAATTTTTGGGAGGTACTTCCGATTCTGATGCTATATCTCCAGATCCAAGTGGAATTTCAAAAATTTATATAGCCTATGTTACTTTCAGGCGATGTTGCAGTATACTTGGAAATTTTCAGGAAAAACTGTTTAGCTGTTTTCGAGTCCATAAATTACAAACAAACATACAAATGGACCTTCCCCACAATGGACATTATTTATTTGATATTAATAACCCTCGTAATATTTGAAATCGGGACAGGATTTTCTTCCATTTTTTTACAACGCAATATGTTCGTACATAGATCAAATTTCAAAAAAAAAAAAAAAAACAAATGCTCATACATATATCTCATATGAAATCTCATGCTCGAGTACCCGATATGGTCCGAATTCGGTTCATGGTAGTATTTGTATTAACTTCAGGTCAGCAGAGATCATGGATAATATGAGTCCAGTTATTCTCGTACATCCTTTCAAAATTTAAATATTTCGAATAAGAATTTTTCTGGTAAAAAGTCAAATTTTTTTAGATTTTCTGCAAACTTCGCGCATCCCAAATGATAATGATAAATTTAGTTAGTTACTTTTGAGGCTCTTCATAGAATAACTTTATGAGTCGTTTCATGCATGTCAGTCCGTCTTAACAAAATGCACGTCGCATTTATTATGCGATTGAGATGAAATTTTCCAAATAATATTTGTTTGTCCCAAGGATGAACCGTATTGAAATTGGTAAGAATCGGTTCAGATAGGTTTATGTAGATACAGCTCCTACATATATCTTCAACCGATTTCGGGTTAATTTGGTGCCCAATATCAGTTCAAATGAACTGAATCTTGGCAATTTCGACTGAATTCATCAGAGAAACAAGTACTTCAAATTTGGTAAAAATCGGTTCTGATATAGATATAGCTTCCATAAATATATTTCATCCGATTTGGGATTACCCTTACATAGGTAATATGCACTCCACACGAAGAATATTTGATACCGGGCATCATATAAAGCTCGAATATATCTCTGCCAAATTTTATCGAGATCAGATCAGATTTGGATATAGCTCCCATATATATCTTTATATGATATCAGGTTTCTTGTGTCCCAATAGGCTAATATCAGTCAAAATGAATTGAATATTTGCAATTCCGACTGAATTCATCCTAGAAATAATTACTTCAAATTTGGTGAAAATCGGTTCAAAAAGTGGCAAGAGAGAATTGTATGATTGTGCATATTATCGTAATTCTGACGAAGAGTTTTATTAGTTTTTGCAGATTTGGAAAATGACCAGGAACACAGCTACTTTAAATTCACAGTTGTTACAGCAAATTCTTTCTACCAAAATGTTCTTCTTCTAAAAACTTTTTTCAGCGTGTTTTAAATTGTCCGGCGTTTTATTTTTGTTCAAGTTATCGAAAAAAGTTAATGCAAACATAATTATTTTTCAAACGAGAATAAAGTTACCTCTGAGAAATAAATTACTCTGTGAAATTATTGGACAATTTTTGTAGGAAAAGTAATCACAAGTAAAATAATATCAGTAACGGAAAGCTTTTAGATATTTTTGGGAAAAAGGACATTTTGTTAGGCATATTTTTTAAAGTATGCAAAATTCTTCAAAAAATATTTAAAACATCCAATTTTTCAAAATTTTTCACTATCACTTTTCCAGCATTTGCAAACTCTCAGTAACTCAACTGTCAAAATTGACGACAACAATTTGCTCTTGCTCTCACATACTAGACTTTGAGGAACAACATCCATAATAATTTGTATAATTTTTGCAAATTATTGAGTTATCGTACGGACCTATTGATTGTATATATGGAACAATAAGGCAGAAAAACTTGATATGTTTTATTTCAGCTAGTACATTTTTAAAATCTTTCAGTTAAAATTGCTATTGATCCCCTAATGGCTACATTATTCGCCGAGGAAGAAATTCTTCAGAACTATTTTGAATTATTTATATACCCATGTAACGTTTAATATTATAAATATTTTTTTAATAATATTTTAAATGGCACCCATCACAGCTAGTTTAGGGATGCTTTTCACATAAAAAGGCTTATTGGAAATGAGTAAAACAAGTGAAACTAAAACAAAGGTGATCCTTCATCACGGGGCAGCTATCTCCTTCTAGTGTATGTGCGTGTTATTTTCCATTGTGTCCGTTAAATTTGTTAGATAGATCGAAAACTTTAGCAACTACTACTACTAAAAACTAAGTATTACTCCTACCACTACTACTACTACTCCACAAAAAAAAAATAAACAAAAAACTACAACCAACAACAAATTCATCATCGTTCGTATTTCTCTGGTCCAGAGTGTGTCAGTTGTAATTCTACTCTTATTGGTGGTGCTGGTGGCATAAAATTAAAAAAAAAAAACTCGAAATGCAATCCAATGCAAATTGCAATTCAGACTTCTATATCATGGTGGGTCGGTCACTGGTAAATATTTAATTAAATTATTTAAATGTTTTCTAAAATAAAAATTTGCTACGGTGAGTGCTTTTTATATACATTTATTTAATTTTATTCTTTGTATCTATATTCACACCTATTATTCTGTCTATCCAACACTCTATCTTTACTCTCTCTTTCTCTCTATCTGCTCTAACACATAACCCTTTTCCGAAATTAACTTGTTTTTGAAGAAGAAAAAAAGAATAACTAAAGAAAAGATGAAGAAATTGAAAAAAATCAAATAAAACTATACTAAAGAAGAAAAACATATCACTTGTTACTTACCGCATTCTTCTATTTTAGATTTCCTTTTTTATATCAGATTAACCAAAATTAAAAGAAAAATTGTATTAAAGCAAAAATATTTGCAAAATTTATTAAAATTGTTTTTTATTAATTTTTTATTATTCAATTTTGTGGACATATATTAATTGGTTTTTAATTTTTTATTAGGTGCCTCTGTTCTGGGACCTCCATTTGGTCACTTTGGTCCATTTCCACCACCACCGGGTCCAATCTTAGCTGCGCCCCATCGTGCTCATCATCCACATGGACCTGCCCATCCAGCCGCAGCTCCTCCCCCACCACCACCACATGCAGCCGCATTTTATCCCCATCCAGTTGTCTATTGGCCATATCCAAGTCCTCCAGTGTCACCAACAACTTACTTCAATCAACCGACCCATTCGCCCACTCATGTTCCTGGTAATCATGGGCCACCTATGGTAGGTAAATATTGATATTTTAGTATACTTTTCAGAATGAGCGCTTATTACTTATTATACTATAGATATAATAGATTATGTATAACATTAGAGTCAAAGTGACTAGTTTATTTTTAGAATTTTCATTGCATGCTTTTAGACGTTCCAGATTTTTTAAACTTACCAGTAAGGAAAAGTCAGGAGTCGGGCGGGACCGATTATATGATATCTTACACCACTATGCATATTTAGTAGAGCTCCCGTAACAAAAGAATTTATTTAAAGTAGATCATACCACCTATCAACATTTGGCTTTTGAGCCGTAAAAGTTTACTATAGAGTGCATGATATCACTTCGAAAAGGACTATATTAAATAATATAAATCGGACCCGAGTTCCGCAAAATGTAAACGTACGTCCCGAAATTCACTCCATTTGGGATGATGGGAGCTATATCCAAATCTTAGCCGTTCTCGGTAAAATTTGGCAGAGGAATTTTCGAGCTCTCTAAGATATCTGGTAGATAATATCATTGTTGTCGAATGCACATTACGAATGTAAGAGACTTAAACATCAAATCGGATGAAACATATATATGGGAGCTATAGCTATATTTGATATCGATTCTCGCCAAATTTGATGTACTTGCTTCTAGACTGAATTCGGTCGGATGTAACAAAATTCAAGTCATTTGGACTGATATTTGGCAGAGGTAGTGCTGGGTTGCATGTGAAATCTGATACCAAACATAATTTTGGTGGGGTGCATATTACGAATGTGAGGGACTTAAACACCAAATCTGATGAAACATATATATGGGAGCTATATCTATATCTGAACCGATTTTCTCCTAATTCAATGCACTTGTTTCTAGATTGAATTCGGTTGAATGTACTAAAATACAGGATATTGGCCATTTGAAGCACAATTACCCGAAATCGGTAGAAGATATATATGTGAGCTATATCCAAATCGATAAAATTTGACAGTGGTATTTTCGAGCAGTATCTGTCCGGTATCAAATATCATTCTTGGGGAGTGTATATTACGCATGTGAGGACTTAAAAATCAAACATATATATGGAAGCTATAGCTATATCTGAACCGATTTTTACTAAATTTGCAGTACTTGCTTCTACACTGAATTCGGTCGGGTGTGTCAAAATTCAAGTAATTTGGAATGATATTGGCCATTTGTTGCACGAAGAACCAGAAATCGATTGAAGATGTATATGGGAGCTTTATCTAAATTTGAACCGATTCGCACAAATTTCAGTAGGGCCAAAAAAAATGTTTGGAAAATTTCATTTCAATTGAATAATAAATGCGAACTGCATATTTTTCACAAAAATACATGGACAAACGGCCGGACGGACAGACATGCATAAATCGATTCAGAAAGTGATCCTATGAAAGTAACAATGGGTCTATATGTATAAAAGTAGCTAACAGAAATGTAGAAAAAGTAACTTTACATAGGAATGTAACGTAATGTGTATACTAGCCTTAGGGAAGTCTGGCCATGTGACTCAAATATCTCTAGCATTTCTTAGCATACTTTTAGGCGTTCTAGAGTTTTTTTTAAACTAAAAATAAGTGTAAAAATAATCAATATATTTAATAACTTCTACCATTTGGTAAAAAACAACAGGTACGGTTGTATGGGGGCTCTAGGAAACCGTGATCCTATATAGACAATAGTATGCCAAAGAAGGTTAAACCCATTACAAACTGTAAATACCAAATTCTAAAAATAAAAAAAAAAATAATAAAAAAATATCCGAAGGTACGGTAATAATACGTGGACTTGCAAAAATTATGTTCAGCTATTAGAGGTAGAACCCACTACAAACTTCGATACCAAATTAAAAAGAATTCAGTGAAGAAATGTGACTAAAATCATCAAAACACCGAATATTGGTATGTTCCATATTATGGGGCTATATGAAAATGTGGACCGCTATACCACATTTTCAATACTACCATCCTGGACACAATGTAGGTAGGTCCAGTCATTATGGAACCTTACGATAAATTACGAATTTAAGTACGAAGACACAAACCACATATTTAACATAGAAGATAACAGAGCTCTGTTAACGTTAATAGAGCTACACGTAAGTTGTCATTTCCTTCAAATTATTCATTTTTACATAATATGTTTTACAAGTAAAAGACTGTAAGTTAGGCCGGACCTATTTTCCAAATAAATAAATTCCGTTAAAAATTCTGTTAAAATCTTTAAAATACCGAAAGTAGCCGATATATTTCAGCCCGTACGACGACCTGGATCTGCACAGGCAAGTTTTGTCATTAGCAACATTCAATTGCAAAACTTGAAAAAAAATCGGTGAACAATGTAGCTAAAGTCATCAAAATACGGAATATCGGGAGGTGCCGTTATATGGGGCTATACGAAGACGTTGACCTGCACAGACAATTTTCTGTCTTAGACTGTAATATCCATTACGAACTTCAAATTCCAAATTTGAAGCAATTCCGGTAAATAATGTCGCTAAAATCATCAAAATACTAAATAATGGAGAGGCACCGTTATATGGGGGCTATACTGAGACGTGGACCTGCACAGACAATTTTCTGTCTTAGGCTCTAGTTACGTAATGGAACTGGAGTAACACATTACCTGCTTTTTCCTGCCAAATGTTCCATGTCAGATTTCCTACCTCCCCCATATCTGATTCGATTTAATCCAAACTTGGATTAATTTACTAGCAAACTTATCTCGACGTCGGAGATGGGCAATATCAGTCCACTTCTTCTGTCACCTCCCCCACAAAAGCTCAATATTTCATAGAAAATAATTTACTTCATAGAACGAGAAAGGATCATCCAACTTTGTTCAACTCTTGGCAAATCCTAATATTTGTATCAGCGTCCACATCATCAAGTACCTCCCCCTCAAAGGGTTAAAATTTTGAATAATCGTTACTCTTATAAAATGTGAAATAAGATTCCGATTGTATCAAAATTTCGCACATCGCAATATTTCTACTAACACAAGATCTGGTGTGAAGACGGAATATATGGGACAACTCCTTCTGGTACCTTTCCCATAACGTCAACATTCTTTGAATAACCACGAATCTTATAAATGATGATCGAATCTATTCAAACTCGGCACATCCCAATAGTTGTACCAACGAAAGATCTAGCGTGAATACGGAATATATCGAACAACTCCTTCTGGTACCTCCCCCACAAAGGGTCAACATTTGGAATAACCCAAGTTCTCATAAAATACGAAATAACCATCCGATTCAATCTAAGCTTTTCACACTCCTACGCTTTCCACACTAATACAAGATCTGATGTGAATATGGTAGATATCGGCCTCATCCTACTGAAACCTTTTCCACTACAAGTAAAAATTTTGAATAGCCATGAAGCTTTTAAAAACGGGAAATGGGCATTCGGTATGTTGGTGCTCTCCTTGTGGTAGCTCCAAAACAAAAAAAAGTTGATTTCCAATTAATGCCACAAAATTGGAAATAAGTAATTATTGCATATCTCAATATTTTTATCAGTATTAGTATTATCCATTTTAATTCATCGGTTCACTCTTTCTACCACGCCCTACAAAAATATTAATATTATCCACAAAAAAAAAAAAAAAAAATAAATAAATAAAATAATAATAATAAATAAATAAATAAATAAGGAATAAAATAAAAAATATTTAGAACTATTTCAAATAAAGCGGAGGAAGTAGTTAATGTAGTCCAAACCTGGCATAAGCGAAAATGAAAATTTTTGCGCACTCCTCCTCCACTTTAAAGCATCAAGTCAAAATATATTTTATAATACCCTCATAAGCTGAGGGCATATATCTGTCGAATAAAATGACTTATACTCTTTAACCTGTTCCCTTTAACTGTTTTCATTGCTACTTTCAAATTGATTTTGTTCAAAAATAATAAGTACAAATTTTCCCTTTTTCTCTCCTTCCAGTATTCTCTCGATTATATAACCACTGTGCCACCAACAAATTACGCTAATCCACAACCATCGCCACTCAGTCCACCAAATGTTGCAATTCCAGCCAATGCCACCAACGGCCTTATACTGTCACCCAGTAAAGGTGGTGGTGGTCCAATGACTTTGGTGCCACCAAAACAATATCCAGCGGCAGTGGTGCAGGGACCAGCAACAGCTGTGGCCGCTGGTGCAATCAGTCCCAATAACTATCACAATCATCATCAGCATCATCATAATCCTCCACATGTACACAGCAATAACAACAAAAATAAGCCAACGGGATTAAAAATTACGGCTGCAGCAACACCTGTACATTCAAGCCACAACAACAATACGTATCATCATCAACATTATGGATCACCGCCGCCACCACTACCACCAGCAACAGCAGTGGTACCACAAACAACGTTGTCACAACAGTCACCAACAGCCGTTGTTGCTCCCGTTGTTACTGCATTGGCCAATGCTCCTGTCATTGTGAATGGCCCAACCACACCATTGCCCAGCCACAATGCAGTAACGCCAGTTGTCCAAAATCAGCCATTACTTGCCATCGATACAAACACACCGGCAGCCGGAGAACGCAACAGCAGCCTTAAAGCCAGTGTAAAAATAACCAAAATTACAACCAAAAATTCAAAAACAGCTAGCACCAGTAATGGTGTGGGGCCACCACCACCTGCTGCCCCACCATCCCTGGTCACCACCAATCGTTGTGTGGAATTGTACACAGCCTAGAAGGCCTGAGGCCAATGGAATATTCTAAAGAATTTTCCGAAAAAATTAAACAAAACAAACAAACGAACAAACTAAAGCAATCACCAAGTGGACATTTTTTATAAAAAAAAAAAAAAATAAAATTAAAAAACATTAAAATTATTTATTTTATATTCGTCTAGCTATAATCAATTCCTGATCTTGCCAGAAGAAGGGATTCACTAAAAAAGAAAATTACTCCTCTCCAAAGTGGTTTTTAAAAATTTGAACCATAAACCATTTTTGACATTCAACGAATCTCGAATGTAGGCTACACAACATTAGACACTTTTTCATATTTCGAGGGCAAACTTTGAGGCTGCTGAAAGAAACCAGGTTCATGGGTCCTATTACACCCCTTACCTGCACGTATTTCCTTGGGACCTAACCTCAAAATCAAGTTTGCCACAGACAAAGTGTATTTAAGATTTTAAGAATAAACCAATAATAAATAAATGTTGATATTATTTTAATAATAGAGAGAAACAATAACAACAAATAAAATAAAATTTTTAGTAAAAAATTAAAAAAAAAAATAATTTAAGAAACCCTATTCCAAAACTTCCTCAAAGAAACTGCTAAAACAAACATTGGAAACCAGTGCAATTAAAATCAAAGTCAAACAGAATCTGACATCAGTTGAGAGAAAGAGAGAACTGGAGAGATCAAAATATTTCAAAAATATTCTAGGATCTTTTTCCTCTTCCCCTCACCCAAAACACACACACAAGCATACTTACCTACATACATATCTAGTGAAATATAAAAAAAAACTATAACCAATAAATGTTGAACAACCAACCAACACAAACAAACAAACAAATACCCTAGTCAATAGTAAAATTATTTATAAATTTATATAATTTTTTTTATGTTTGTATATCTGTGAGTGTTTTATTTTTGCTGTCTTCATATACGTACGTACACACATTTAATTTTGTTTATCATAAATAATTGTAAAAAAATATAAAATAAAAATGAGAAATATAATCAAAGTAAATTACAACAAAACTTGTCATTTGTTCAAATAAATCAATTTAATTTTTATTGTAATTTTTTCAAATAAACAAAATTGTTATTTGCTGTATTTTTTGCTCTTGTCACGACACCACAACAGATTGTCATTTATTTAATTAAATGAATTTTTAATTTAATTTTTAGTAACGTTTTTTTATATATTTGTATCAAAATTGTTTTTATTGTCAAATCGATTGTTTTTTAAATATATATTTTTTAAATAAATAAATAAAATATATACACATATTTTTTTATAAACGAGTTTTAAACTATGTCACATTTCTAATTAACCGTTAAACAGTACCAATCTAAAAGTGGGGTTTACCCTTTCCGTCCGATATCAAATCAAAGTCGTCTGAAAATTGTGGTAAGGGCTTGAAGAGATAAAGGGAGTTATATATCATTAGCAAATTACAGGTTGAAATTGAGTTAAAAGTGTTGAGATAAAATCAAGGCGTACTGTTAGATGGAGGCCATATTAATCGGAAGTTTTGGAAATTCGTACTTATGTGTACTATATGGAACTAAATTTAGTACATTTAAATTTTGGGAGAACAAGTAGATTTGGAATCTTGAAATTTGAAAAAAAAAGATTGGTCTTTATGAGTAGGTAATTATGACAATTTGTACTTATGTTTACAAAATGGTACTAAAATTTGCACAATTTGGATTTGGGTGAACCAACAGAGCAAGTATCCTAAAAATTGGAAATAAAATTACTGATGGAGTGTCGTACTTATGTGTACTACATGGTACTAAATTTATTAGAATTTGAGTTTTAAGAGAACGGTAGAGATGGAATCGTTAAATTTGGGAAAAATATTTCTATTCTATTGTATGGTGTATTTAGTTATGGAAATTTGTACCTATGTGTACTAAATTTCGTACATTTTTGATTTAAGTGAATCATTAGAGCTGGTATCCTGAAATGTGAAAATAAGATAACTGTCGGAGTGGGATATATAGGTAGTTTTGGAAATTTTTTTATGTGTACTAAAATGTACTACATTTGGTACAATTTGGATTTGTGTGAACCGATAGAGCTAGAATCCCGAAATTTGATGTTGTGGTTAACGTTGGTGTTGGCGTATCGTAACTATTCGGGACCTAAAACTGATGAACAGAATTGTAAGAACATCCAAATTTAGGTGGGCCATAGATTTTCAAATCTTTTAAATCACCAGGGCCAGACGGCATTTTAACCGCCATGATTCAATATGTCTCGGCGTCAATATCACAAATTCTAGGTGAGATTTTCAAATGTCTGTGCCTATCCTACATCCCGGTACTATGTGGGGAAATTACGGTTACTTATATCCCAAAAGCTTGGAAACCAATTCACTCACTTCCTAAGGACTTCAGACCAGTCAGTCTCTCATCCTTTCTATTGAAAACATTAGATATGCTGATGGACATAGAAATAGGACACGAATGCACTGCTCAACATGCCTACATGAAAGGTAAATCCGTTGAATCAGAGCAACACGATGTTATAGGTTTCATTGAGAAAAACATGAATGACTCCTTGTTCGTCTTGGCAGCTTTCCTTGATATTGAGGAAGCCTTCAATAACGTCACACCAGAATCCATTCATGATTCCCTTTTAAGACTTAGGGTAACCCAACTTCTCATAAATTGGATTGATACAATGTTTAGTAGCAGAATTATCAACTGAAGCATTGGGGAAATATCCGTCAGGAAATCGGTCATCAGGGGCACTCCGCAAGGCGGTGTTCTATCACCATTGCTCTGGCTTTTGGTTATCACACTTATAGGTCTGGGGAAAACTAGGACAAAGGCAGTCGCTTATGCTGATATCCTGTTGATTGCTGGGAAATTCATGTAACTATCTCTGATCTGATGCAGGGTGTGATGGTGCTGAGTCCTGTTGGAATGTCCAAGGTCTGCGGCCAAAATGTTTGCGTGCCCATGGCTTTAATACATCCCAGAATATTTTTTGTGATAATATTCGGCATTTATTCTGATGCCACTGTCGATTTATACGAACGGAGAGCGAACATCGGCTGTTGTGGTGGCCCACACCATCACCATGGCCGGCGCTTGAGTTCTGGTTGCCAACCGAAGCTGCACATTTTCAGCTGACCTTTTTGGCAAGTAAACACGATAATTTTGTTTGTTTACAAACTGCTGGACACCACTTTCGGCCAAGCGAAGCAACTCTTTTGAGTCTATTTTCTTTCTGTTGCGGTGTAAGTTCTTGCAAGCATTTGCACATATTACGATATGTTCAGCTTACGAGCTATTTTTCGGCTCGAATGTGACGAGGGTTTCAATCAAGTAGCTTTTTTACTTTTCGAACCATTTCTGCTGATGTTGCTGTTTTCTCCTGTCTGCGTCTCGGGCCACGCACCAGTATCACGGTAACGAGCGATGGTACCAGACACAAAAGATTTATTCAAATTTAAATGCTGATGTGCTTTAACGATAGCCACTTGTGGTTTTCCAGTCAACCATAAATTAATCACACTATCACGCTTGAATTCCATCACGAATAACTTTTTTTCTAGAAAATTCTCACCAAAATATCATGAGCTGTCACTGGAATAATTTTAACAGCTGTCGGACAAGTGGCTTGGAAATGACAGCAGTCTGAAGTTGGTTGCAATTTTTCATCTCACCCTGTATATATCTGCCACCAGAGGTAAAACCCTTTATAAACTTTAAATGCAATATTTGAATAAACTCCGTCCCCGAATTTCAATGAAAATTCAATATACGGGAGGTACTGTTATATAGAGATCTACGTCATAAATTGTCATTTGTATCGTGGTTTCAACAGACTGACATCGTTAAATTGGCTTAGAATTTTATGCTGATCATGAATATGTTTATATATTATATATGGTGTCTCCTACGACTATTTAGGGGAATTACAAACAGAATGACAAATTTAATATACACTCCTTTCCAAGGGGGAGGGTACAAATATTTCATATAAAGTGGAGGATGTAGTCGGTATAGTTCAAAACCGACACGATGCAATATTTATATCAGAATTATAAGTACACATAGGCTCAGGGTATACATCTGTGGGTAAAAACCGATTGATATATTTTAATTTTTTCCTGGATTGCTACATTTTTAGTGGGTGTTAGAAAACACAAGTATGAAAATGTAAAATAAAGTAATAGATAGGGTAGAATATGATAACTTAGAATATCAATCCCTTTTAATCAAAATAACCCAAATTACGAAACCAATATTTTATGTATTGTGGCAGAAACCTCAAAAATACCAAAAATCGGGAGGTACCGTTATATGAGGGCTATACCAAATAGTGGATCCGTGGCGAATATTATTTGGCATTCAGGGAGAGAGCGGACCTACCGAGAACCGTAAAGGCTAAGTTTCAGCTGATTTGGTTAGAAATTGTGGCAGAAACCTTAAAAATACTGTAAATCTGGAGGTGCCTTCATATGGAGAATATACCTAATTTGTCTATACCAATCAGTCTACATACATATAAAGCTTTGTGTCAAATTTTAAAGCTCTAGATTAAATAATGCCGTTACTTCAACAGATAATAAATTTTATTCTGATCAGGAATATATTTACATTTTGTGATCTCCGACGAATATTTCGAGGTTTTGCAAATGGAATGACAAATGTAATATACCTTTCATTGTATGGTGAGGATATAAAAATTTAACAATCTCAAATTTGTCTTCTCTCTGATATGCATGCATAATACACGGGATACATTCACAATAAGCACTCAAGTTCATACATAAACCCTAACTATTACTAACGGGTGACTCATCATTATCCTTTTTATACTTATAAAATGGTTTGTGAATTAGATACTGCAGGAAACAAATAAGTAAAGACGTCAAATATAATAATCAAGTGTTAGTATTGTATTTGACGTCTTTGCCTCATTTTATATCTTCCGCTATACTATGGAGTAACACCTCGAAATACTCATGTTAGACTCTATAAAGTATATTCAGCATTAAAATCAAAGTCGATTTAAGGATGTCCGTCTTTCTGTTTGTCTGTCCTTCTGTGTGACTGTTATAATCACGTTATCTTTCGAACAAATTGAGATAGAAGGCTAAAATTGTGCACACTTATGTATTTTGCCAGTAGGCAGGTTATTTTTGTAAATGTGCCATAGTTACATATGTTTTGGTATAGTCCCCATATAACTATATCTTTCGATTTTCGATATTTTGACGATTTATTTTACATTTTGCAACAAAATTGTTCCGGAGAGTTTAAAATGTGTTCTATCACTTGTGGTAGACCATGGTATATATAGATCCACGTTTTCATATAGCTCCCATATGACGTTACTTCCCACATTTTTTAGAAGAGCCGTTTAAAATTCTCTATGTAGAGTTTGCAATGGGGGTTTCTTTGCCTCATGGCACGGAAGGTAGTTAAAGAAGCGTCTAAAGGAATTGTTTAAAAGTGCAACATATAAATGCAGACAATGTCGCCTTACAAATGACTTT